CCTGGTGGAAGTTTTAAGAAATATATAATTACAGAAATGGATTCCTCATACCAAAAACCCCCTATAACATGTTTTTATACAATATTTTGTTTATTATTTAAATTTATTTTGCCAGTGCTTAACATCATATCTATGCATAGAAAAAGTCCCGTCACTGACTAATGTCACTAGATTTACATACATAGCAATTATTTATTCTCAAGCAGTCGATTCAAATAAATTTAGTAGAACAATTTAAATTTCAAAATACATTCAAATGACTAATTCTACAGTCATCAAACAAATGCACAATTTTTTGAACATTAATAAAATGCAAGAGGTTAAGTCAAGAAAAGTAGCAAATTAATTATACGATTAACAATTAAATATGTACATATATTCACAATACAAGCAAAATGGATTGAAGTTGCGAAAAATATTTGAAAATTTGCCAAATATGAGTATACATTAGGTTTGTCCAAAAGTGCATGTGAAAAATTTAAATCCGAATTTCAGTGCTCTCACCCGCTAAAATTGTTATTTGTCGAAAAAAATATACCCTAGTTTTTTTTTCGAAATAAAAGAGTATTTAGAGGTCGTCCAAAGCGCTCAAAAGTTTTCTTGTATATTATATGGGGAAAAAAAAATCGTGAATATGGTATAGAATTTTTTTTAAATCTAGCATTTTTTATGCGTCCCCTAGAAAAATAGTTAATATTAAAAAATGGTCAAATAAAAAATTGGGTATTATTATTGGAAGTTTTCTGAAGAAACACAAAGTTCTCCGACCGAAAATTATTAATTCTCAACTATTGAATAATCCTAGGTTGTGAGAGCAATAAAATTCCGACTTTACTTTTTACCACCATAGTATGTGTACATACATACATATGTATGTACATATGTGTATATATGTATGTACATATTTTAAGCAATTTTCTGAATATTTTTTGATGCTCGATATTGCATTTTTGATATATTATTTTTAATTTTTTCCCTTATTTTATTTTTTTATTGGCAACAGTTTATTTTTTATACTTTATTTTTTACTCTCATAAATGAATATGAATAACTTTTTAATTCACTTTTATCGCATCCAATTTATGCTGAAGGTAACATATTCAAATAAGGTTAAATAATAGAACTTAATAAGGTTTGGAACTCTGATTTTTAGGGTTTGTGTTGTAGAATTAACCATATTTTTATAAAATATTAGCGAAAAATAAAATATTTAAAAAATAGTTACCGATATTGTAAAAAGTTCGCTGTTCCCAACTAGGCTTTAAAATAAACATCGACTGGACGTACACTTTATAACGCATGAAAATGTTATTGATTGCCCTCTGAGTCAGAAAGAGAAATATTAAAAAAAAAAAGTAGTGAATTGTTTTCCTTTTTTAATCGGGCATAGTAAAAAGGTGCGCTAATAAAACTAAACTTTTACTTTGAATCCCCAACTCTCTTACGATACCATCAGAAAAGTTATTCTTTAATTTTTTCTTAAATAAAATTTCCTTGGCAATAATAAGTCTTATCCAGCAATGATGATCTCCTCTCTATGAATATGAGCGAAAGTCTGAAACCCTTTAAAGGCTTTCAATTCACGCAAAGCGGCTGTGAATACCAAATTTAACCTCATAACTTATGCAACAGACAACGTCAGCCGCTTTTACTTTTTAATTTTTATAAAAGTGTATATTTTTTTCATTCTCTCCTTATTACCCACCTTCGATTGACTACATTTTGAATGCAATGTGCGTAAGTACTAGGAATTTATGAATGACGCACTGACTCATTGAGGTGATGGTACAAACAAAAGCGGAAGAAAATAAAATTCAAAAAAAGAAAGACTGCAAATGTTAATAAGGATTACTTTTTTAAACCAAAATGCAAATTACAAGAATTACAAATCATGGCGAAACATCGTATTTCTCTAACAATAAACTCTTTATTAGCAATTATTTTTTTTTTTTTAACTTTTTGATCTGAATATTAAATATTGAGTATTTTGTACATAACTAAGTTTAAATCTTAAGCCATCATTGTATTTTAAGGCCTATTTTGAATTAATTTCACAAGATAGAAGGTAGAAGTGATTTCTGAGTTACGAGGTTTTGACAAAGTTCCGTCAAAATAAAGCTCAAAAGTGCTAATTACTAAGGAAGCTATTCATTAAGATATTCTGCTATTTAGTTAAACACTGATTTTCGCCAACATTTTTTATAGTCTACTTATTTACTTTTTAAATTTCCTTCAATTTTTTTTTTCGTTCCACCGTTTTTGCGGCTACTTAAAACATCTGTCAACATTTGACCGCTTGGATTTGTTGTGATCAGTTCAAGGATTTTTAATTTTCATACAGCTTATTGACATTTGCTGTCTGCTAATTCTTTAGGCGCATTAGGAATGTATGTATGAATTTGTCTTATTTTCTGGTTTTCTATTTTAAAAGCATTAGCAGCATTTTTTTTATTTCAGTACATATATTGCGTGCTCTTAGCATTATGTACGTAGACATTAGGGTGATCCCTAAAAATATCAACATGTAAATTTTGTATGGGGCGCCACTTTATTTTTCTATACGTACAAAACAAAGACATTCACGAAAATTTTTAAAATAAAAAAATTTAGGGGTTTGGGAAAATTACAATTTTTTATAAATTGCGAAAATTCGAAAAAAAAATTTACTTTGACCAGCTGTCTAAATTCCTTTTTTAAGACCTTGGATAGGTTTTCTAACTTAGCACGTCGCTTAACTAATAAGGTACAAGATTACTTGTCGAAAAATCTCTCGCTTTGGAACTAAAACGTACCTACAACTTTTTATATCTTTGAAGGTCTTTGGAAGACTTTGGCAGGACCTGGAACTGACCCAACAGATTCCGGTTTGTCAATAAATTTCAATAATTTGATACGTATCGCTAATTCTAACTGAAAAAAATTCGATAACTCGACTATTTTCGATAAACTTTGATAACTGTGCGTTTCGAGGGCTCGACAAATTTCGATAACTCAAACATGTATATATATCTCAATAAAAATCGATAACTCGATAAACTTTAAATAACTCTATAAATTTCTACAACTCGCCTTATTTTTATAGCTCCATAGATCGAAAGCTATCGAAAAATTACGGTAACTCATTACACGATAAAATTCGATAAATAGTGACAACTCGATAAACTGATATAACATTGAAGTTTCGATGACTCGATAAATCTTGAAAATCGACAACTCGATAAACTAATATAACATTGAAATTTCGATGACTCGATAAATCTTGAAAATCGACAAATTTCAGTAAACCAGTAAATATCAATAGTTCGATAGGTTGAAAGAATTCGGTGCATTACGATAACTCGATAAATTTCGTTAACCCTATAAATAAGGACAATTCAATAAATATCGATAACTCGATAAATTTCATAAACTTAGAAAATTTAGATAGTCCCACAAGTTTTAATTGCTCCGTAATTTCCGTAAACTAATTTCCTGTGTCTATAAACCACGACCACTCAATAAACATTGATCAATTCGAATAATTCGATATGGCGCGATAACTCAATAGACATGGATGACTCGATAAATCTCGTTAACTATAAACATCGATAATTCGATAAATTTCGGTAGCTTGATAACTTTCGATAACTACATTTTTTATAACTGAATTTATTTCGAATCCTATCGAAATATTTCAAAAAATGTTTAACCTTTCAGTTGCCCTAATTCTTCTGTATTTCTAATTTTTTTCGTTTTCGTCTTTATCTTCAAATTTGCCTTCACTATTTTGTCTTCATCGTTTTTATCATTTATTTTTTCATCATCACTTTAATCTTTATCACAAAGTTTAATTTTAAATACGAATTACTTAAAAAAAACGAACAGGCTGCAACAACAAAACAACTACATATGCGCAAATACGGACATTTTTAAATGACGATTTTGGCCGTAATCTTCAACCAATTTTGAAAGCATAAAAACTCGTCTCATCTACATAACAAATACCTTTCCAATGGTGTTCTGGGTTTTGAAATCGGTTCGGTAGAATCGCCAAATGAACGGCAACAAAGTTTATGTTAGTGGATTAATTTAGAGATAACATTCAATAGCATGTCAAATTTATCAGATTTTACCAGAATTTTTTCGAATATTTGCGATTTTATAAATATAAATTTTTTTTTTTAATATAAAAATTTTTAAATCCTGTTAATTTTGAAATTTTGGGTAGTTGGTTTTACTTTGCACGTGCTGAAACAATATAAATAGGTGTCCCACACAAAATTTAAATGTTGATGTTTTTAAGGGCCACCCTAATGCATTCATATGTAGGCAAAGTAAGTCATCTTTGCTGTAAGCAAATTGTTTTGATTGATTGTCAGAGATAATTCTACTGTATTTTGGCAACTGGGAGTGTGGTAATTTGATGCACTGAAATATGCAAAATATAAATTTAAAAATACGTGATTTTCTTACTTTTTAAGCTTATTTGGGGCAATAACCCATATACTCCATATCAGGTCAGCAATTATAGCGAACAATCAGGCATCAGGTACCCTATTCAATAAGAAGAAGAAAATTTACCTACACCCGCGACAGTTAACTTCCACTATAATTTTTCTTTAATTTTCTTTGCATCCATAATTTTTACAATTTTCTCTATTCGCAAACATTTAGCCTCAGATTTCTGTTTAACACCTGTTGGATTTATGTGTTTGCTTTTCATGAAATTTTGTTCTCATTCGTTCCACCTGTTGAGCGCTGCCCACTTGCCGGTGCTATACAATATTTTATTTGCATGCATTTCATTATAATTTTGCACAACGATATTATTTGCAGAATTTGTACTTGAACTTTTCAAATATAATGAAGTATGCATATCTGTAATACTAGCCAATAATTTAAACTATCACAATACATAATTACTTATATAGTATATTGGATCTCATCACTAATGCCCTACCTACCCAATTTTACATTTTTATTTAAAAAATAAATCTACTTTACTAAATATTCATACTCACGTCGAAAAACACGGAAAACTCATCGAACAAAGCCTTCAAGTCCCGTTGATTGCGCAACATTAGCGGCAGGATTTGTTGCTCGTGTAACGCCAAAATATCCTCGACATTGCCCAGCAGCCTTTGGCGATTGTCAGCACCTTTGAGCGCATCGGGCGCATCCGCACGCGCATCCAATTCACCATAATTCTTCAGGCCTTTGCTTAAATTATTCACATAATTCGCTTCGGTCTGTATTAGCTCGTCAATGATGAAGCTGATCTTCTTTGATGCGTAAATTTCACTCTGATCGCAGGGAAAGAGATTCTCCAGCGAAAGTGTATCTTCATCCTCGTGACTGTGGTGTGCAGGAGAGAAATTAATAATAATAATTTATTACATGCATGTACGGCGTTATTTAAATTTATTATTTTAATTAAATTTTCTTATAATTTAAAAGTTTTCGTTAGTTTCCAATTTCTCATACTTTTTTATAAAAATAGCGTATTCGATTAACCTTAAATGCAGCATTTGTTTACTTGTGTAATGCTTATAATCACTTCAATTAATTTGTAGCAATTAAGATTTAAATGAACCTTCAATAAAACTTTAAACACACCCATATCCACTAATTAAAATGTAGACAAATACAAACAAACACAAACACTTACTATTCATCACTGAGTATTTCGGGCAGACAGGGCGTATGTGGAATGATGATGGGATTGTTGCCATTTTGGTTCTGTAACAAATTGATGGAATTACGTGCAGATGATGGTGGTGATGGTGTACACACCGGCGCTGAAGGTATAATTGTTATGGAGCTGGAAAACGAAACAAAACACACACAAAAAATGGGCGTGGCACATAAAAAGCGATATCGAACAATAATGAGTATACAAATGCAAATGGTGTGTAGATATGTATGCATGTATGTATGCAAATAAAAATGCATTGGAAGATACATTTAATCGTGTGCTGCTTTGCAATTTTTCAGTGAAAAAATGTCTTCAACATTGTTTTTACTGAACGCAACCATACACAATAAAGATTTCATTGAATTTAATGTTCTTGCTTCTGCCTTATGCCCATACATATTTGTTTATTTTATTTGTAAAGAAAAATACAATTTATAAAAAAGTTTATATATTTATATGTACACATACATAGGTTAACTGATTTTATGAAAAAAGTAATTATTCAAAAATTTAATTAAGTGAAAGCATTAATTTCAATTTACCCCTCTTGAATTTGTTTCAACGGAAAAAATACGATTTTAGCGAAAAATAAAAAAGTATTTTAGGAAGAGGGCGTTTAAGATAAATAAAACCTTTACAAATATAAGAAGTATTGATATTTCAAAAAAACGTACAACACCACCACAAAAAATTAAAAAAAACTAAATTGTTAACCGGCGCACAGTGGGGTTTCAGCGGAATAAATTCAGTTTTTTTAACATTCAGTGTTTACACTTGGATGGCTTAGCCTTATAAAGCAATATTTGAATAAGAAAAATGTATTATAACAGATTCTTGTCAATTCTTGCTTTTTTACAAAAAAAAAATATATGAAAAATTTAAGTTTGTTAGTTATAAAATTTTATTATTACGACTTTTGTTCAACTGAGCAATGTGTTCTTCTGATAACTTTTGTTTTGATTGATTTTGTTTTTTTTGGTAGATTCATATAAATATAGGTATGTATGTTATTTATGTACTTGTCCAAATAAAGAAAAAATCAGTGTAGACGACCAAATATTTTAATAAATATAAGAAAACAAAAGCTCAATATTAGGTTAGGTTTAAGTGGGAGTCGTTTTTTCCCTGTTTTATGTCCATAAATGTTGTACCACTGTGGGGCGTATTGTCTTAAAATCGCAAATTTATTAATGTAAAATAACGGTTAAAATGAAATAAGGGGATTTGTAAGTAATTCTTCATCTTACTTATTTTCTTATGCAAAATGTGTGGACAAACTGACGCCAATTAAAGAAAAAGAATGAGTGTAAACAAGTCGTTCACCAATACTAAGTTTTTTCGTGTACATAAATATATACATATGTATTTATGTATGTATTAATTCAACATCAATTTATAGCAAATTATTAATGTTGGAGCTAAAGGCGCAGTATTTTTAAAGAGCTTCTTTAGGTGGTAAATGTATTGCACAGAAACACGCATACGACAGAAACAGAACAAATTCACAAAACGTAGATAAAATAAATTGAACACCACAAAAATCAAGAAAAAGCAACACAAAAACGTTTAAAATAGTACTTTAGGCTTGATAATTTTGTATAAGTATTACTTGTTGCTGGAGGAGGGGAAAGTTCATAAAAATGTTCTAATCTTATCAATTAAGTTTGTAAAATAATCGCATGACTCAGGCATTTAGAAGTCTTGTTAATCACTTGCACTGCTCACTGCACTTTTAATTTACGCTTGTAAAGTGTGGGACAAGGCATATTGAACAGGTAGTAGCGGTAGAGCAACTAATTTGATTTTTTCCCCCGAACTATTTGGTCTCTAAAATGTTAAATCTTGGTAATTTGTTTTTACAAAATTCTGAACTGTCAAAAATTATTTGCAAGTTAAACCTTTTTTTTTACAAAAGATGGATCGATACTTCTGGAAGCAAACAAATTTACCAAGAAAGAAGTTGCAGCATTTTTATTTTTAGTTTTTTTTTTATATACAATTTTCTCTAACTCAATTTTTGTTTGTATTTCACATGGTACATATGTATATATATACTGTATATATATACTACCTTTTTGACGCTTTCGACGCCAGAAGCAACAACAATATACATGTGTGTAAATTTTGTTTTTGCTCTAATGCTTCTGCCTATTTAATATGCCTTGGTCTGTGCCCATAAAATTCGTATTTCTCGCGAGCGATTTTATTTACTAAAACGATTATACAATTTTTTTCGTATATGCTGTTTTATTTTGTTTTATTTTTTCTATGTTTTTTAAAACACATTCCTATTTCCTTTTCAATAATATACATATGTATTTATATGTTACTTATTTTCACCGCATTTTGTGTCATTCCAGATTGATTATAGATGCATACGTCATAATGTATGGGGATGAAATGTTCACATGGAAAGCACGTATCCCACTTGAATATTCATTTAAAAGGTATGCAAGTTTGTATGTAAATTAGTAACTATTCACAAACACAAGACAAAACTACACATATATATTTCTTATATAATTTTTTCGCCTCTAACAAAGAATACTAGAATTTTTTTATTTTTAATTGAGAAAAGTCTACAACACAAATTCTTAGACCCGCTAAGTTATAGCTAGTTAAAGTCAAAATTTTTTTGAATTTTCGCGATTAAAAAAAATTATTTTTTTCAAACACGGAATTTACTTTTTAACAAGGTCTACAGCCTACAATTGTAGCCGGATCTCCAATTGCAGTTTTATAGCCTATTAAATTTTAGCGCAACTTTTAAATGGTTAAGAAATTGCGTTGATTTTTAATAATTTCTGTCTAACTTTCGTGCACATTTCAGTTACAGAAGCGGCAAAAAACAAAAATTCAGTAAAAAAAAAAATATTAAAAATCAACGTAAATTCTTACCCGCTTCAAACTTGCACTTTATAAAAATTCAATGAGCTTTAAAACTGCATATATTTACCTTAATTCAATGGCCCTAACCAACAAATTTTTTATTTTATAGAAGCAAAAAACATAAAAAAATCAAATCATGCATACGGATAGGGCGTTTGAAATGTGGCATAACACCGCTGTTTTTGGTAGTAACACTCTCAAAATTTTAGTGAAGATGTATTTTAATATGTATATCCAACTAAAACCTGTGAAAAACGTAGGGTGTAAAAAAGTGTATGGCCTTTAAATATTTTTTTAAATTTTGGTGAAAATTTTAGTATAACACTTTTTCATTTCGTTTCGTTTCGTTTTTCGTGTCTAAATCTACCATAAGACACATTTATAAATTTAAAAAAAAAAAAACATTTTTCACTTAAATTGCTTGCGCAAAATTAGCTTTAACAAACTTTTGAATAAGTCGTTAATATTAAAAGTATTTCTTTTTAAACTTATCCAGTTTTTATTATATAACATTCAATAACAGGAACGTGAGAATCGTTTTTCTTCAAAATTGCTACTTTCTCTGCGTTAAAAAAATAAATATAAAATAAATATAAAGAAATACTAATTATAAAAAGTAGGTCCTTAAACCTCTTAAAAGTTTAGTTACAAAATAAAAATTGAAATTCGGCAAGAATTGTGGGCTGTAGACCTTAGTAAAGTAAAGTAAATTTCGGGTGAACCACTGTGCTGGGTAGCGTTCCGTAATTTTTTTTTTTAATTTTTTTTTATTTTCATAGAGGCCTTTATTTTGTACGTAGCTTTAAATGAAGGGCTGCCCATGATATGGATATTTTAGGGACCACCCTACTACACACACATATTACTTTCTCCCTTAAGATGCGATCTTTTCAGAAAAATTACACTCTTAATAATATTTTCATTGCTTAAAATGCCGGCAAATGCTGCGACTGCAAATTTTAGTTATTATTGATCAAATATTAAAATGTATTTGTAATCCGACACCTACTCTTCACAATATTCACTCTTTTGTTTTTGCAATTTTCCATTCGCTGCGCTATTGGCCGCTGTTGTTTTTCCATTAGTTGCTGCTGCTGTTGTTTTTGTTGTTGTTTTTGTTGGTGTTGTGCCATCTTCGGCTAACAAATTTGACGCGCTACTTAACTCACTGGCCGCCTTCACTTTACGCGCTGTTTGATCGGTTAGAAACACATTTAGCAATTGTAGCAAAGCGACAGTGATAAATGGCAAGGCGGCAGTGGTGGCTTCGAACCACGATAACTGTATCAGACCGTATAACATTTTCGAAATGCGTAGAAAGTGAGAACGGGACGAGCAGTGGTGACAAAGTACCGATCGCGCCAACGCAGTCGCGAAGTTAGGTCACTAACTTTAAATTACTTTAATTTTGTCTAAACACTTCTTTTACTTTGATAAAATTTTTGCTTCACTTTAATGCCGCATTTTAAGCTGCTAAATTTTTGGGTTTTCTTTTTTTGCTTTTTTAGCGAAAAGAAATTTCCAAAATTAAGTCGCACACATCACATCGTTGCGCGCTCGCCAACATCGACGCCTTTACGACACGCGATCACAAACTCAACTGAATGCGACATTAGCTTTGCTATAAATTTTTTAGTTTGCTTAATTTTTTGCCATAATAAACGTAAAATATTTATGAGTATCTGTGCTGACAAATAATTTGCACAGCTGAACTTTGCAAACAGAGAGCAAAATGACAAAATATAATATTTACTATACATACAAATGTATTTGATGGTTTGCTCAGAGCGCTGTTTGTTTTGAATGAGCAGTTGGCTTAAGAGCTCATCGAATGATAAGCGAGATCGCAGCAGTTCCAATAGGCCTGCTTATGTATGACTTATATAAAATCGTAGAGAAATATTCGCTCATCCAATCTCTCTACCACACACTGAAGCTCCCTCTCTGTTTTTGATACTTAAATTTTTACTTACATACGTATGTGTGTATGGGGATATTTTATAGCAACTTGTTATCAAGTTGTTTATAAACAAATGATAAACATCTCACTTAGCGCGGGTTCCATATTAGTCTTCTATTTTATTTTATTTTATTTTTTAATCACCTGTTGTGTTGGCTTTTGTATCTGGTAAATTAATTTGTTGATAAATACCCAAAATAATTTCGTTATGATTTTACTGCTCTGCAGAGATAAAATGATATAATTCTGGGAACTACTATTATATGCACAATAAATATAAAGCGAACATAGTAAGTCGGCATTTAACTTAATTCATTATACTACACAGGCTCTTCCCCATATGTATGTATGTATATGTACTTACGAGGCCTGCTTCATATATCTATGCTTGCATATTGTGTAATCTGGTGTTTACATATAAATGTGTTTAGCTTAAATGTAGCCAGATCGTTTTACAATGACTTCCGACAACACCACCAGCTCTATCTCTTCGCGCCGGTCAATACCAAATGAGGCGGGGGTTTTCCATCGTATGACTTCCTTAATCTGATACTGCGGAAAACAATCGACAGCGACATCCTTAGAGTATTCAAGAGAGATATTATGGGCTGTATGGGCTCATGGAAAAAATTGGAGTTATTGAAAAAGGGGGCGTGGCACCTCCCATACAAACTGAGTTTCTCTCGCCAAATACACATTCTAATGTGAGAAATTCAGTTTGGGTGGGAGGTGCCACGCCCTCTTTTTCAATAACTCCCATTTTTTCCATGAGTTTGGCGACGATTACTTCCAGAGATATTTTGTGTGAAAACTTCAGTTTGTTTGGCAAGTGCCACGCCCCTTCATATATCGAAATTATTTTTCTTCTATTATCATCCTTTGGGGGTCTAGATTCGATATCCAAAATTTCAAAAATAACGGTACAGCTGTTCTCGAGTTTTTCGATAAAAAAAAAAAAACAGTTTTCAAAATATATATCTGTATAGATATCAAATTAAAAACATTTTTTAATTAAATGCATCCTATGGAAAAATGTTAAGGAATCATTTTTTAAATAATTGCAGGCTTTTGAAATTAATTTCAATTATGTTCCATTATGTTTTTTTCTTTCATTTTTCAAAATAACCAAATAAAAAACTAGAGGTTTTTAAAAAATCGCCATGGATAGACCGACGCGAAATTTAATTATCTATCTTTTATTAAAAAAAAGAGACTTAAAATCGGTTCATAGTTGCGCTCTCAAAATTGATTTGTCTATAGCAACGTTTTTTGCCCCACTGTGCGACGTATAGCTAATTTAGAATAACAAATTTCCGTTATATAGGAAGTCGGCTTAGGTATTTCCAAATTTAAACAAATTTTGCTGCCTTGCTTAGTGAGAAAAGAAGATTGTTGTAACCACCCAATTGGCTAGAAATTGGTGCAGCTGTTATTGAAATGCTTACATTTTATTATAATTTGGCAAAATTTACTTTTTTGCTAGTATGTTTAGGCGTGGTTTTATTCCGATCTCGTTTTCAAATCCCTACCTATCTTGGCTAAAGGGCTACCTGGTGGGTATAAAGATATAAAGATTTGCTGAGGCATCTCACGGACCGGCGATTGCTTTCTTCTTTCTTGGAACTGTGGTACTCTTATCGCGGTCCAAAACAGAATACGTCGGAATTTTAATGCTCTCACCCAATAGGATTGTTCTATATCTAAAAAATATAACCCCATATTTTATTTTGAAATAAAAAAATATTTAGAAGTCGTTCAAAGCGCTTAGAGTTTTCCATGTGTTATATATGAGAAAAAAACAACTTGTTGATACCCAATTATTTATTTAAAAATTTTTAATACTAAAGACTTTTTATTAATCCCCATTGCGTTTTCTGGCAGTTTTCTTCTTCACATGCATTTTTGGCCGCAAAAATTAGAACTGATAACAAAAATCTAAAAAATACTCGTTTTGAAGGCTGAAGAATTTTCTTTTAAAAGGTAACTGCACCTTTAAAAAATTCACCGTGTCATAATTATGAGCGCACCACATATTGACAAGTTTTAACAATATATAAATCCAAGTTTCATGCTTTGTGGAATATTAAAACAAAAAATAAACAAAGTTTTTAAAAATGTCGAACTTTTTAATTAGATTTCTTAGAAAGATTTTGAGTACCTAAATATGTAGTTTTCAGCCCATCAAATTCTAGTATAAAAAAGTGCAGGTCTAAAGTAAATAGGACTTGCCGTTGATTTTTTACATTTTTTTTTTTTGCTGACGGTGTTGTGCATTTTCATCTATTTTAGTTTTTTATGTGGAAAAAAATTCCAAAAATGAACGGTAAGCCCAGCTACTCCAAACTTGCATTTTATTGTACTAAAATTGAATGAGCTTCTAAACTACATACGCCAAATCTGTCTAAGCAAATTAAAAAGCTCGAAATTTTTACGAAAAATTGTTGAATTTTCCTTAAATATCGCACAAAGTTTGAAAGTTGGATATATACAGTGTTTTTTAAGAATAAACTCTATTTTTGTTAAAAAAAACCTGAAATTAAATAATAAAAAATTAGTTGTTAAAAATTTCAATATTTTGGGTGCTTATAATTATGACAAACTAATCGAAAGCATTCAAAACGTCATTTCAAATTAACTGTGAGCCGGCGAATAAACATTTGTGTCACTTTGCGCAACGAATCGTAATTTAAACAAAATGATCTCAGCGCGATCGACAATTTAAAGAGAAAACTAGCAAAAGCAAAAACACTTGCAACAAATTAACGCCATCAAGTGCGGACACTTTTATACGATTTGTGATGTTGATCCAAGGCGTGGAAGCCAAATATTCTCGTACTACAATAGCAGACTTATTTTGTGCACACATGCATATTAGGGTGGTCAAACAAAAAAATTTATAGTCGGAACTTTAATGCCGCCACCTCTTAGAATTGTTCTATACCGAAGAAAATATACCCCTTTTTTTTTTTTTATCAAAAAAATTTTAGAGAGTGCTCGAAGCGCTCGAAGTTTTCCATGTATTTTATATGGGGGAAAAAAAACTTTTCTTCCAATAATAATACCCAATTGTTTACTTAACCACTTTTTCATGGTAAATATATTTTACACAAAAACTGTTTAGTATTAAAAAATGGTTAAATAAACAATTGGTTATTATTATTCGAAGTTTCCTGAAGATAACTAGAGTTTTCCGTTCGAAAATATTGATTTTCAAGAACACTATACCATGTCTACCATGCCATATAAAATACATTGAAAAATTGGAGCGTTTTGAGCACTCTCTAAAAAATTGTTTGATTCCAAAAAAAAAACAATGGGTATGTTTGTTTCGGTATAGAAGAACCCTAGGGGGTGGCCGCATTAAAATTTCGACTTTTCTTTTTTTTTAGACCACCCTAATGCATATATGTATGCAAGCTAAAGATCCGATGATCCGCCAGATGCTACGTAGGAGACACAAAACAATAAAATATGTACTCTTATGTGGCGACAAATTTTTGCTAGAATTCGTGGAAATCTATTTTATTATTTTGAGTGTAGTTCACTGTAGCCAACTACTGATTTTATTCTAAAAATCAAATTCTCATTATTCTTATACACATATGTATGTAAGTGCACATGAATATTTTTCTCAATTTTTGTTTCCCATTAATTCCCAGCAATGATGTCACGCCATTCTACAACACAACGCTTGCGAATTCGGTGGCGTGCAACAAGTGATCGTCGCTCGATCGCGATTACCCCCCACGGGTATGGATTCTCGCAGCCCTTAAGCGACCGCTGATTGTTATGAGTGGCGCGTGACTCCGCGCAAGAGCAAATGACAGCTAATGCATATAGAGAATATTGTTGTGGGCGGCATAGTTGCCAACTTGGTGCTTTAAGCACTAGATTTAGTGCTTTTTGAAAATTAAAACGCCAAAAAAAATGGTTTAGTGCCTAGTGCCCGTTTTAGTGCTTTTTTCTGAACTAAAATTTCTGAATTTACAAGAATCTACAAATTTAAATGCATTAAAATGCAAGCCATGATTAGTAATAAATATAGTTTAAAAAAACTAAAAAACACGCTTCTAAAGCATATCAAACTAAAAAGTAAAAAATAATTCTTAATATAAGTTGAAAATAATAATGAACAAAAAATACTAATATTGGGAAAAAGCGTGGGGCGCTCTTTGCCATATTTTTCGTCTATCGAGCAACCCACACTTTTTCACAATAATACTAGTATTTTTGTTCATTATTATTTTCAACTTATATTAAGAATTATTTTTTACTTTTTAGTTTTTGATATGCTTTAAAAGCGTGTTTTTTAGTTTTTATTAAACTATGTTTATTTTTTACTTTTTAGTTTGATATGCTTTAAAAGCGTGTTTTTTAGTTTTTTTTTAAACTATGTTTATTTTTTACTTTTTAGTTTGATATGCTTTGAAAGCGTGTTTTTTAGTTTTTTTAAACTATATTTATTCACAATCGGCTCCGCGAATGAATAATGCTCGTACAGCATCGAAATGATTATTTTCTACTGCTAAAAGAAGTGGCGTATTGCCAAATTCATCTTTGCAATTAATATCAGTACCGCGGTCAAGCAGTGGAAGATAGCGTTACATAATTTATTTTCAGCCATAGACGGGATTTGAAATCATGTCTGGTAAGTTCGTTGTCTCGCGCCT